TATTCTCGCTGATATTCCCTGGGAGCGAGCGGCGGGAAAAAAAAGAGTCATTTGCTCATCCTCTGTCCCCTGGATGTTGTGTTCAGCAGCAGCAGCAGCAGCAGCAGATCGGTGACATTTTTTTTAGGGTCCAAAGCAAACCGATCGAGGGAAGGGCATTTCCTCCGAGAGAGAAGTAAGGGAAGAGAGGGCAGAGAGGGAAGAGAGAGAAAAATTTGGAGTGAAAAGGAAGGAAGGCGATCGATTCGATCGCTGCTTTGTTGTCATGCCGCTGTGTATGCTTTTGGGCTTATGCGCATCGTCTCTTTTGTTTTTGTGTTTGTATGGTGTGGAGGGAGGCAAGGGAAATAATAAAAAAAAATGAACGAACAGGAGAAGAGACGACGCAGGCATGAAGCAAGCAAATAACCCGACGCACTCTAGGGGTAAGTAAATGCTGTAATTCTACGATGCGACATGACATACCAGAGTTTCTCGCGTAGCATTGATTGGCATGATTGGCATTTGGAAGGCAACACAAACGAACAAAGAGAAAAGGTCCACGGAGAAAAATAAAAATTAGAACGAGAAGGAGAAGGAGATCGAAACCCTAGAGAGTAAAAGGACAAGAGAAATGAACGTGGAGGCGGTGCACTCCTTGTTGTTGTTGTGCTCAGTCACCTTGTATTTTTATTTTCCGTCTGTTCGCTTCAACAACGAACGCAACAATACGCAATGGGTGACCACAACAAACCTTGGTTGAAAAATAAAAAGTGCGCTTCGTTGTTGTTCCTAGTTCGATGTGAAAGCCTAGAAGAAGAGAGTTGAAACTCTGCTTTTGTCGATGGACGATGAGAATGGTAAAAAGGATTGACTTATTGAAGGGGAGAGTACTGCTGCAATGGTATTACGTATGCTTGCTGCCTATGTATGGAAAGGTAAAAACGACAAGCCTTTTTTGACCCTTTTTTTTTCCTTGGAGCATTGGGCTTGTTCGTTTCTTCTTTTTTCTTCTGTACGAGATATGGCCAGGGATGAGGATAGATGGGCTTGTTCATGTTGTGTGTCTCTAGTTCTACCATCCATGTCTCTCTCTCTCTCTGTCGCTCTCTCTATCTCTCTCTATCTATGCAGCAGAGCAGTCTGTCTGTCTGTCTGTATGCGGTTGCATCCGCATCCTCCTCCCTTTCCGCAATCGCATCGGGCAGCACACACCCCAATATTATTGTTACTGAATAGTATTCAATTCAATTTTTAACCATTGACCACCTCCCTAGTCGACCTCCTCCCCTTCTTTCTCCCCTGTCGGCATACCCTGTCTCTTCCTTCTTTTTCTCACCGTCCCCTTTTCCCCTTCCTTCTTCTTCAAACACGAAACCTGATACTCTCTACTCCTTATTCATTTCATTTCATTATTTTATTATATCATTTGTTTTACACTGCTGTCATCTTCTCTCAACCACTGTCCCTTTATCACCCCTTCTCCCTCTCCACTCTTACCACACCTTTTTCTTCCGCGCCTCCTTTCTTAACCTCTTCTCTTCTTTTTCTTCTTCTTACTCTTCTTCTTCTTCTTCTTCTTCTTCACTTCCGCGTTAAATAAAAACACCTTGTACAGATACCATCGCCACAACTATCACCAAGCAACTACACCATCTCTTCCCTTGCATCCTCTCCTTTGCTCCTCCTACTCCTGCTTCAACGCTCCTTTTCAACGCACCTTCGCACTCGCTCAACCAACCAACCAACCAACTCAACTCAACCCCTTGAATCCCCTCCTTCTTCTCTACCCCTTCTCTTTGCCACGTTCCTCATTCAACCAACAACCCCAACCAACCAACCAACCAACCAGCAAGGCGACCTACACACACAGACACACTCACATACACACATTCGCCACTCTCTTTCTTTCTCTGCATTCGCTTTCTCCTCCTTCTCGCCATTTCAGTTCACACATTCCCTGTTTCAACTTTTTCTCTGTATATTGTTTTGTTGTAATAAGTACGAGCAGGCTCATACCATATTACTCCTTTATCAGCCTTCGGACGAAAACAAGATATTTCAATTGATCCAACCACCAACCACCACCACCCGTCCAACCATCTACAAAACAAACGTAAGTCTATCTCTTCTTACTACCACGGTTCCCCCTCGCCTCCCCCTCTTTTTCAGCCCTTCTCACCCTCGTTTATCTTTCCAATGGTATGACTGGACGGTCCTCTCAGGAAAGATGGAGCAATTGGAGAAATGAAAATGAAAGAAAAAACAAAAAAAGGCTCAGAATACGAGAGATTTGCGAATTGTGCCTCTCTCTCTTTGGAGGAAATGGTGTGTCTAGTTCAGGGGAGGCAAGAATAGGGGATGCCAAGGTGTCTGGCGTTTAGGGGCATAATGAGGGACGACCTCGCCTTAGTCAAACTCCAGGGACGAAAGTCGGTTCGTTTCGTTTCGTTTCATTCTGTTACGTGCCTTTTTGTGCCAGAGGTCAGGGACTTTCAATTGGGAGACGTGAATAAAAAAAAGAAAAAAGGAATAAGAAAGAGGGGAAGGGAAAAGAACGACCAACCAAAAGTGGTGTCGGTCACCTTCAAACAGTCCAACCACAACGCTCCGTTTCCCATGTTCCGCCCTGGCTTTCTTCTTATACTTCATGGGGTCAAAGGAAGCAAACGGTCAAAAGGAATAAGGACATTTCATGCAACGCACGCACGATATTCCTCCCCTTTTGTTACTCCAAAGTCCAACGGTACGACCACTCCATCCGGCAACGACAACAATAGAACGGAGAACGAACGAAGCGTGACTCCATGAAAAAGAACAAAGCGTAGTAGTGACCAAGCCATTGGCCACAGCTCCAACAGACATACAGTTAGACATGACAACAGAAAGAAAACTCTATCTCGTTCATAACAAAGGGAGAGAAAAGAGAGAACAGGGCAAACGACTATGACGAGGACAAGAGAAAGAGAGAGAGAGAGAGAGAGATGAAAAAAGAAAAAAATGCGGGGGTAGCAGGGCAAGGCCAAAAAAAAAAAAAAGCAAACAACAGGGCAGTGGATGTGTGGTGTTCAAATATAGCATAGGGGCAGGCAGGGAAAGGGAAGGAAAAGGGACGAGGAGCGCTTGTATGCATTGATTCATTCACCCCATTCATTCATTCAGCTCATTCATTCAGTTCATACAGCCAAGCCAGGCACAGATAACACATACAATACACACCCCGCTCTGCTGCTTACCCTCCCTCTGCCCCATTCCCTTCCCATAACATATCTGCCCTTTTGGCTGATTTCCGTTTTTTTTATATCTCAATCCTCGCTCTCTTCTCCTCTCTCTCAAACAACGGTCGATTTCCTTTTTTCTTTTTTCACTAACTCACTCATCCCTTCTCTCTTTCTCATCATCTTTTTCTCTTCTTCTTTTCTCTTGTTCTTTATTCTTTATTCTTCGTCTTTGATTCCCTTCACCCTCCCTTCCTTCCTCATTCCCTCTTCCTTTACCCTTTCCCTACCCTACTCCCCTCTCTCCTCTCTCCTCTCTTCCTCTCCACCACTCATCACCTTTCTCATCCACACCCAACCCACCCCTCTCATCGCACACACTCACACCTTACCCCTCCTCTACTCTACCCTACCCCTCTCTCTTCAACACACGCTCACCCTTCTTACCTCCATCCGCAGTTGATACGAGGTAAGCTTCATCGACTGGAGTCTGTTCTGTCAAAGTCAAGTCAAAGTCAAGCCGGGATAGGACAGCATTAGCGACTCCGTTCCTGTTTCTGTTTCTTGTTCCTGGATGTACACACTCCTACCTCGGCTTTCCCCCCTCCCTCTCCTTCTCTCTCTCGGCCAGTTCTCTCTCCTTTTTTTCTTCTCGTTCCCTGTGTGAGTTGGTGTGTCAGGAAGAAAAAAAAACACAAAAGTTGTAACGGACCCTCCAATGTATCCGATACTTGCTTCCCTTGTTGCCAAAACGCCCCATGCGGCATGGTCTTATCCCATCCGATGCGATATCGCCACAACCTATACAAATGCCTCCTCCTCTTTCTCCCCTTTTGGACACAACTGTGCTACTCTCTCTCTCTCCTTCTTACTCCTACTGCTGCCCACGCATTATATCCTCCGCAACCCCCTTCCTTCAACCCCCTTCCGCCCTTGCTCTTCCTTCTTTCTCTTGACCTCTCTCTCCTTTGGCCCCCTTCCTACTTACTTACTTGCCCCACCTGCTACCATCCCCACCACCATTGCCATCGCACCAAGATCTGGTTTGGATTGGACCCTTCCTTGGAACAAGGAGCAAAAAAAAAGAAGTCAAAAGGGTGATTTTCATCCTTGGGTTCAAGCCCAGTCAAAAAGGACAAAAAAAAACTCTCCTAGTCTTTATCTTTGTCTCCCTTGTCTCTTTTTGGCCCTTTTTTTCTTCCTTTTTCACACCGCTCTCTCCTTCCTTCCTTTCTCTCGTTTCGTCTTTTTTTTTTTTTTTTTAACTTTCTGGCTTTCGTTTCAAAGAGGCCTCTTTCTTTCTCTTTGACTTCTTGTAACGTTTGAGTGGTGTATGTACCCTTGAACAAAAGCCGAGTGGTACACGGGGCAACAAAGTGGAAAAATAAGGGCAAACAACAACAGTAAACCACCTAAGACTTATGGAAAACGAAAACTAACCCAGCTCCTTTTCTTTTTTTTACAGGACCCCGATCTATCTAGGAACCCTGCCACCATCTCTTGACCTTGCATGAAAGTGTAACCAATTGCAGTCCTATCCAGCACCAGACCATTGTTGTCGTCGTCGTCCACTCCAAAAAAAATACCTCCCCAGTCCAGGTGCAGTCGGCCACTTCCGTCTACTCGACTTCTTCCCCAGTCTATCATTCACACAACGCAATGCTCACCTTCAACCAACAACCTCAGCAACACCACCTTCCCAACCAATACAACCAGCAGCGTTTGCCCTCCGTTCCTTCTATAAAAAAGCCTGAACTCCACCAAACTAACCCTTCCAACCCAAACAATACCAACAACAGTACGATGCACCACCCACAGCAGCAACAACAATCACAGCAGCAGCAACAGCAGCAACAACAACAACAACAACAACAACACCAGCAGCAACAGCACCAACAGCAACAACAATTATTGCTCCAACACCAATTACAGCACAAGCAGCTCCAACAGCAGCAACAGCAGCAGCATCACCAGCTTCAGCACCCATACCAGCAACAGCAGCAGCGCCAGTTTGCAAACTTTGAGACCCCTAGCCCACCTACCCCTTCCCCTTCGCCAGGCAACCACCCCACGGTCCTTATACCTCACCCAAAGCTTCACCAACTGGACATGTCTCAAAACTCTCCCAACGGTGACCCGTCCTCGTCGCCATCCCTGTCTGCCTCCTCTCCAACGAGCACCACCTCCAAGAAGAGGACGAGGGCCTCGGCCGAGCAGCTTGCAATCCTTGAAGATACCTTCCTGACCAACCAGTCGCCCAACTCCAAGGTCCGCGAGATTCTGGCCAAGAAGGTGAAAATGTCCGAGCGGTCTATCCAGATTTGGTTCCAGAACAGGCGAGCCAAGGTCAAGCAGGCTCAAAAGCGGACCGAGCTCGTCCAGCAGGAGGCCATGAAGGCCCAATACCTGAGCAATTGCGCCGCTGCCGGCATTCCTCCCCAGCCTCTCTATAACTTCAACGCTTCCTCAGGCGCAGGCGTCAAGCCCTTCCCTATGGGCGGCCACCTTCACCCAGCAGCCCTTGCCCGCGCTCCTTTAGCCCGTGCCAACAGCTACGATGCGGCTCGCTCAAGCGCCGTCCAGGCAAGGATGGCCCAGACTGGTTTGGGTATCAATGTTCCTGGCGCCGGAGGACCTGGTCTGTGGAATGGACAGCCCCCTTTCGGCATCCAACAACCTGGACATCCAGGCTTTGCCTTCCGACCCAATATTCCTCAAGCCATGGGTGCCGCTGCTCGCGGAGTAAAACGATCCTTTGGTAAGTTTCATTTTTCGCAGGATTTTTTTCCTCTCGTTTGTTGTTGTTGATAGAACCACAGCTTGCATGATAAACAAGGGGGTCGGGGGTGAGGAAGGGAGGATGAATGAGTACACAGTACATTAGTGTCTACATTGCACGCAAACTGACCAATGGTTGCATGGCATTACCACTTTCATATTTGTGCATGTCGCACTCGTGTTTTTTTTAGACGGAGCCAATGGACCTCTCTCAGCAGGTGCTGTTCCCAAGCCACTGCACTTCCCTGGAGCAGTCGGAGCAGATGGTCTCCCAGAAGGAATGGCCTCGCCCGATATGATGTTTGGCGCTGGCATGGTCCCCACCGCCTCACAGATCCCAACGATGCCCACCTTCAACTGCGACAACCTGGCCATCGGAACATGGAGGAGAATGTCGACCTCCAACACAGACTTGAGCTGCTTCTACTGCCCCTCCACCAGGATCATGACCTGGCAGATCATCGACCATTCTGCCCGCTTCAAGATGACCTTCCCTTTGAGCAGCATTTCCCGCATCGAGTACTACGAGGTTGACCCCATGTACTCCCAGGTCGACTTTGATCTGATCGAGACCCCTCAGTTCTTCATGGAAACCGTCTCGGAGGATCAGCAGCGCGACTGGAAAAAGTGCAGTGATTTCACAGAGGCTAAGCAGGCGACGCTTGTGATGCGCCATACCATCCACGGCCTTTCGTCGGCACTGAAGATGCAGGTCATGAGTCTGACCATCGCTTACCCTCCCCTCCAGGCCATCACCCAGTACCGGGAAACACACTTCCCCGCCCAGTTCCACGCCTACACTGCCCCGATCCCCCAGATCGCTCAGTTTGTGGACCCCACCCAGTACGACCGACGATTCGCCAACCCCTTGACGGCTGGTTCGTTCTTGAACATGAGCAACGATGGACTTGATTCCGGTGGAGAGGGTTCGGACATTGGCGAGGATCTCTACGACAGCGTCAATGGGTTCGGAACCCACTTCACGTCGACGACGAGCGCATTGTTGGATTTGGGCGCCGACGGCATCCAGCACCCACGACTCAAGTCTAGGAGAACGGCCAGTATGCCCACCCCAGCGATCACCAACTTTTTGACCACTGGACTCAACTCGGTCCCATACCACTCGTCACCCCTGTCCATGTACTCGACCACCGGTAACGAGTCAGCGGCCAACCCTGGAGGACTCTTGGGCGCCTCAGCCGCGACTGCAGCAGCTGTTGCTGCTGCCGCCACATCGGCTGCCTCGGATGCCGCTAGCGCCAGCTCAGAGTCCGGTTCGGCTCCTGCCACGACCGCAGAGGGTACATCAGCGGCTTCGGCCACTACATCAGCACCCGCGACTGCAGCTGAGGTCCTTGGAGCCAGTATGGCTGCGCTGACGACCGGCGTGGTGACTCCTTCGACGTTGACGTCGGCACCCATCAGCACCACATTGGCTCCCTCGATGATTGCGACGGCGAGCATTATGCCCAAGGTGACGATCACGACGCTGAGCGATTCCACCGAGAATGGCGGATCAGGAACCGAGTCGACGACGGTTGTGCACAGTGAGGATGAGCAGGAGAAGGGCAGCAAGGAGACAGCAACGACCTTGCAGAACGATTTCGGAACCGAGGCCAAGGAGAACGAGAACCCCATGGGCTTGACGTCGCAGTTCAACGAGTTTTTGGCACAGGCCGTTGTGTCAACCACTGCTCAGATGAACGCGTCGTTTGTGCCAGCGGGATTCGGAGCTGGGATGATGTACGGTGGAGCCGGCCAGATGCACGCTGGCCAGGGTTTCCAACTGACGTTGTCTGAGGATGGATCGGATGCTGGATACGAGTTCAATTCCGGATACTATGGCATGATGCCCGAGCAGGCCTCGTTCGTCTCCATGAGTGATCTGGAAGGCCAGCAGACTGATGGTGAGGACAGCACCTTTGGTGGCTACTAAGTCCTCTTCCCAGTTCCCCTCTACTTCCTCTCTACTTTGTTCTTGTTTCGTTCCTTTTCATTTCTTCTGTCTGTTGTATTATCCCCAGGCATGCTATGCCCCATTACTCATTCATTCTCCTGTATTAGTTATCCCCTTTTTTCATTTTTTATGTCTACCATTCACACCCATACACACATCCCTTTCCGCATCCTGTTGTATATTCCTTTCTTTTCCTCATTCCTTCCTCTCGACCCCTCCCCCCCTCCCAGTAGTGCATGTTATTCATTATTTGCGCGAACCATTTGTTTGTTTTTCTTCATTTGTTTTTCCACCTTTGTTTTCTTCATGTTTTTTTAGTGTTTTTCTCTTTGCATCTGTTTCGATAGAAAACGAAAAAGAAAAAAAGTCGACCAAAACCCATACTTTGGATATCCTCCACACACACAGACACATACACACATCTACCCCACACATCATCCCCACGCGATGGCCCCCCAACAATAAAAAAAATCGTTGTTTTATTACTTAACTTCAAATCCTCTAATGTCTGACCAATGCTCAATGTGCGACTGTGTGAATGACTTGAATGTCAGTGAATGATATACGATAGGACGTGCGAAAAAAAAAAAAAAGTGAGATGCGGCGACAGTCACCTCGTTCTTTGTATTCTTTGTATGTTATGTTGATGACAAACGGCAACTCTTCTTTTCTTCTTTTTTGTTCTTCTCTTCTTCTCCACCTCCATTCAACCCGGTCTCCATCTCCACCTTCGGCTGCGCACACACAGAGACAGCTATCATCGGCCTGTCACCCTCTCAAAGCCCAGGTGCCAAAATAAACTGGAAGAGCTAGCTCCAAAGCTCCCTTGTCTAAACCCCATTCTGCACACGCCTCCTTTTTTTTTTTTTTTTTTTTTTTTTTTTCTTTCCTCCTCCCAACAATTTTCACACTTCTCCAATAATGACGGAATCAGCAATTGCTGCAACCTCCACAACCCTGCCCGTCCTCCCCGACGACTGCATCTACGAAGTCTTTCAGCATCTCTCCGCCAAGGGTACCTTTTGTTTCTACTTTTGCTTGCGCTGAGATGCCTCAAAGGAGTGAGTTGTAAAAAAAAAAAAAAAAAACTAATCTCAAGATTTTCTTCATTCATATACATCAGATCTCGCGAATGCATCAAAGACCTGCAGGGCATGGAACAGGCTGTCAGAGAAGAACAGTCTCTGGCAACAACTCTGTCTAGAACGTTGGAGGACCTGGCCACCACCTCCTCCCTTCTCGTCGTATTATGATGATTACAACCAGCACCAAGGCATTTATCGCTCTCTCAACGGAATGTCGCTCCTCAACAACCACAATCAGGACGACTACTATATCAATACCCGCATGGGCTCGTCGACAACATCTTCGTCCTCCAAATATCCGTCCCCACTCGAGAAATTGCCCGACATGCATCAACCAAGTCAATGGTACTCGACTTCTCACCCACCCTACGAACTTGACAGTTGGAAGGAGGTCTTTCGGGAGCGTCAAGAGAAGGACAATATTGTCCGGATGTTATTAGACGAGATGGTGGAGGATTCTCGGAACCGGATGCGGCATATGGATGGGATTGCCGGGATCGGGATGGCGCATGCGAGGGATGTCCTCGAGAATATTATCCATGGGCGGAATGGAGAAGTCAAGGACCTGTCGAGGACTTATTATGCGCAAAAGACTCTGAAAAGATTGCAGAGGGGTTGGGTGCTGGACCAGTGGAGAGGGTATCGATCGGGGCATCAGAGTTTCCCAGTCTGGCAGGGGTGTGGGTTGATGGCCATGTTCTCGGATCAAACCATGGAGTTGACGGATTTGGATCGACAGTTTCAGGAGCTTGCGGATGAGTTCTTGGCGGTGTCGCCTATTCATGGTCGAGGGGCTACATCAGGAGGATTAAGCCCTGCTGGTTCTTCGGCGTATGGGGAGGATGGATTGGATGGACTGGATTCTCGGTCAGCGACGACAGCGGTACCGCCAGTGTATGTCAGCAGCAACTACTATCATGCAGGGATCGATCGATACAGCCCAGGGTCGTTAATGGATACTTCGTCCACCTCGTCGGGCAGATGGCCAATGTCACCGGACAGGATGCAGGAGCGCATTGACGAAACGAACGAGCGGTATCAGAGGCATTACGATGCCCAACTGGATCGATTGAAGGATCTGATCCGGTTCTTTACAATCGAAAAAGGCTTCAAGGGTAACACCGAGAACTACTATGACCCGTTCAACAGTTTTATCGATAAAGTCTTGACGCGCAAGGTCGGCATCCCCATCTCGTTGTGCATTGTCTTTGCGGAGCTGGCAGAGCGCGTTGGTGTTCATGGAGTCGAGTTGATGGGCTTTCCTCAGCACTTTCTGCTTCGCCATCGTCCCCCCGTCCTAGGAGCAGGAGGGCATCATGGGTCGCCATTGTTGGGAGGTCACGATGGAGCAGGACCTCCGGCGCCACCGACGCACTTTTTGGATCTCTTTCACCCACCTTATCGCCTGTTGCCGATGGACGAGTATGAGAATTACTTTGCGAGTTTGAACATTCCTCGACCTATGAATATCTATCGAGATTTGCCTACGCCGCCGCTGGAGATCTTTTTGAGGTGTCTGAGGAATATTATTTTGGCAGTTGAGCAGACTGGAGGCGCTGGAAGGTAAGAATTTTGTTTTCGCGATATGGCTAGCTAAACTCGCGTTGGCTTTTCTTGTGTTACAATTGGTTGGCTGGTGCTCCAAGGTCTACTCACACCCATCTGCTCTTTGTTTGTGTGTTGCCGTTTGTAGGATAGGATCTGACCATCAGACAAGTCTTTACTCTGGAATCACGCAGCTGTTGGCGTTGCATCCCATTGAAGAGTAAGTCAATAGGATGGGCGCCCATTGTTTGCTTACAGTTATCCCGTTGTCCCGTTGTCCCGTTGTCCCGTCTGTTGTTGTCACCTGCGAAACAATTGCAGAAATTAATTGCATGCTCACATACGTTTATATTGCAATTTTTTATCTTTTGTGTTGTGGTTTAGATGGGGTTTGTATGTACTATGGTTAAAGTATCTGGGCAACTTTTGGCCAGAAGATGTTGGGTTTGTCAGGATGGCGATTGAGGACATGGAGTTGTCGGATCACCGTCGTATGGCTGGAAGAAAGACTTCGGCGTCTCCGACTCAACAGCAACACCAGAAGCCGCACCATACATATGTTCGAGGACGAGGTGGTTTACAGGCCGCGGCTGGATCCGCGAGCCATTATACTTCTTCGACACAGGAGACGATCAAGATCTTGAGGGCCCATGTTCGTGAATTGGAGATGGCAGATGAGGCGGGTGAAGTAGGAGAGATCCGGAGGAGACGACGACCTAAAGTTGCTACTCCCGCTTCGAACTATTCGCCCCTCGCGACTTCTTCGGCCTCCTTATCGCCTGATCTACCGCGGCTGTCTTCTTCTGTGCAGAGTTCGACTACGTCGACGAGTCATCCTGGACAGAGACGGGGTTCTGTCCCTGCTTCAGAAGTATCAAGGCCGTCAGCGAGTCCAACGACGGCGTCGGCGTCTTCTCCGACGATGGACAACCGCGTGTCGCATGCGCATCATCAATATCTTCGCCAAGACTCCATCTCTGGGGAACAACAGAATGTGTCTAGTTCTTCCATGAACTCTGGAGTGCCATCGGAGGAGGACGAGAATGGTGTTCGGCCGCCTATGCGAGTCGCGTCTATGTTTGGAGGGGAAGAGCGACGACGACCAGAGCCCGAGTATTATGTTGGAGAGGTGTTTCGGCATCTCATTTATCGCTATACTGGCGTCATTTACGGCTACGACCTCAGTAAGTTATACTGATATGGCGCAATGGGCTGTCGATCGTCACACACCAATGCTCTTGAATACGCCACTTATATTACTTCTTTTTTATATTAGAATGCGAGGCTGAAGAAGGATGGATTCGGTCGATGGCAATTGACCTGTTGCCACACGGACGCCACCAACCGTTTTACAATGCATTGTTGAGTGATGGGTCGAAGCGTTATGTTGCGCAGGAGAATATTCAGGTCCTTTTCCGAGAGTACAGGCAAGGCGGTGGCGGAGGTGCGGATGCAGGGTCGTCGTCGCTTGCGGATGGATCAGCTGCGGATCAAATTCCTTTGGACTTGGCGGCTATGCTCACGGCTGCCGGTGCCACGGTTGTATCTGTTCCTGCCGATGGAGGCAACATCGATGCTTCTGCAACTGCAGCTGGCTCTGATCTAAATGTTGCTGTTGCCGAAGGGTCGGACTCGGGATCTTCGGACACCCCTCAGGCACCAGCCACGGCCGAGGACACGACGGGCGCAGTGAATTCTGACGCCGCGGTGGTCGATCCAGATACAAGCACAGCATCAGAACCAGCACCTGCATCAACCACACCGGCGCCACTGCCATCAGCTGGCACAGCTTCAGGAACAGCCACACCAGCAGCACCAGCAGTAACGCCAGGAGGAACGCCATCAGTGCTGTCGAATATGACGTTCACGGTCTACAATGTCGAGTTTTCCGAGCTGGGTCCGTTGGACATTGAGGCTGTAGGGCAGTACTTTGAGGCATGGGATAACAAGCATGGCCACTATGTCATGAACAAGGAGCTCCGTAAAGTCTATCCCACAGAGGACTACCTCTAAAATAGCTTCATCACTAAAACTTGCTGAAGGATACTCATCTTTGCAACGGCTGTACTTGCATATTATTTTTCATGTTGTTATATTTTTTCTTGTGCTAAACAGTGCAAACTCTTTATTGTTGAGCCTAAAAACGGACACAATATCCCCTAGGCTCGACTCCATCCAACGAGAAGCGCCTGCAATTCATATTCCCAATTTTGGTCATAAGGCAAATGGCCAAATGCCTTCTGCCTCACTCTCAAGTAAAGCGACAGCATGTCAAACAAAAGGCAGCTCAGGTACAGATGCGCATCTATGGTATTCGCCATCTGTGGACGGATGAGTGGGCGACAAGGGCCCTCTCTCAGCATGCTTTTCAATCCCAAAGGCATTAATGGTGAATGGATGGCGACTGATATGCTTCAAGAGAACCACAGCTATCTCCTCAAATCCATCTTTTCATCAAAAGGATCCAACACGACCTGGGAGTATCTCAGGGATGCGATTTCCACCAACATCAGGACTATTCAGGCCATTTCGCGGATGCTCGAGAGAGAGGGAAGTTAGGGTTAGCTCCAGCAGCACTAAACACCAGAAACTATCAACTGCTTCAGATATCTCCAAGATCCATGAGTACCTCCGAGACAGCGGCATTTTATGGAAGCCGAAGTCCGGTAAATACGATCAAGGAATCGCAGTGGTCGATCTTCAGAGTCTTGGTGGAGGCAATATGCTCGGGGAATCTATTGCACGATTTTTGGATAGGCACCAGCTGGAGAATGCGGTGGATTTAGAAGAGACGGAGGCACTCGAAAACGTTATCAATTATATATATTTTGGTTTTACTACTCTCTACGATAATTGAATGAAATGAATAAAGAGAAAGGAGGAAATAGACAAGGATGGAATTAGAGGAAGATTGGCAGAAAGAAGCGAGTGATTCCTCGGGTTGCGCCATACGGACAAAATCAAGTGGACGACTGATACTTACAAAACGACAATCTCAATCTGCGGGAGGCGGTCGGTCGCGGAGCGACTGGATCTGATTATGATTCCAGTAAGTCCTCCTCACCATCGCTTCCCTCCCTATTGCCGTCAGAGCTGTCCTCCAACTGGTCTAGCGCAGACGCCGCCGTCGTCTGGCTACCTGATCCGCGGCGAGCGTCGATCTCGTTGTTGAGCTTGTCCAGGACCTGCGCGATCTCATTATACGAATTCTTTCCAAGGGGCATCCAATTGCAGATGGAACTGATGGCCTCGACTGCCGCAGCAGTTCTAGCCCAAGAGAATTTTTGCGACAGCTGTTCGGCCACAGTATCCGGCAGGATCCACGTTTCACAACCCACCCTGTAAGGTCTACTGCTCACCCATCTCTCGTACGCCTCCTTTCTCCACGCCTGGAGTCTCTTCAAGGCCATGTGTCTCTCTTCCTCCGAACGGCTCGATCCGGTGTCATGACAAACAGTGGTGGGAACGGGACGATCAAATTTGGAGCATCCAGAACAGCTGTTGTCGCAAGTACGAGCTTTGTTCTCAAACAATTTGTCTAGTAGCGTCCAAAGACACCTTTCCGCTTGCTGGTTCATAAGGTAATCGCGCACGTTTTCGTCTGTGGGGGACGTTTTGGTGATCGGTGGTGCGTAAAGAATTCCAAATCCCTGGATCTTGGGATCTCGTGCTGCTCGTCCAAATCGCTGAACCAAACTCGGCATGTCTCTTGGAAAGCTACATAATTAAATTTATTTCACACATTTTAGAGAAGGTCCATTGTGATCGCTCTATTTTTCATACTCTTCATTTTTTTTTGTGTATATCACTTACCCGTACTGAATAACTTGAACCACATCAGGTATGTCTCAACCCATGCCGGCAGCCTCGGTAGCCAGCAGGATATGGATGTCACCCTTCGCGAACTTGGTCATGACTGACTCCTTGTATTGGGATCTTAAGGTGGAGAAGTAAACGCCTATCCTACCCAGATCGGGTCTCATCCTCGATAGATATTTAGAGACATCGATGAGAATGGAGATTTTTTCGAAGTAAATAATCGTCTTGTCTTTGCCTAACAGGGGATTAAGGCCCTCCATGGCATCCTTGGGCTGAGTGTGAACCTCGAGACGAACATTTGTGGGAATCTCTTGCACACGAAGAACGTTGACCTTGGACAGGAAGAGCTTGTCCATGGTTTGAGTGAGGGCATCGGCAGCGAGTGTCGTGGTGACACCCACAAACGGAACTCCAGGCGACCAAATGCGAAGCTCACCGAGGCGAGCATATTCAGGGCGAAACTTGTCCCATTTTTCAACACAATGGACCTCGTCCACCACAATAGCAAGCAACAGGTTCCGCCAGCGCGTATTTCGCCAAAGCCCTTGTACCAGCCTCGAAGTAGGGCTGTCGCCAAAAATGATCTCGGGCGACATAAAGACTGCTCTGAACTCGCCTTCACATATGCGTCTAATCACGTCTCCATCAACGGCACCAGAGTTGTCGCCGGAGAGAACGATGTGATGTATTTTGGCGTTGACCAGCTTCTGTAAGATTGAGTGGCAAAGTTCAAAGATAAAAGGCGGTTAAAATGACAATGATGTTTCTGGCTGTATGATACATGAAAGGGCCTAGATATGAAATACCTGCTGCTGATCGTTCATCAAAGCCATCTGTGGCGAGATGATGGCAGTGATACTGCCGGGACAGTATGCCATAGGAAGAAAGAATGCGGGTGTCTTGTCCCAGTCGCAGGAAGCAATCAACACACAGTCGATTTTTTGTGCAATGTGTTCCAATACCTCCAGTTGCTGCTCTTTTGGAGTACAGTTGAAAACTTCTCGACAAAGGCTAATGGCTTTTGATCTGGAAAAAAATTGGAAGCCCTAAAAAGATGCACAATATTGCGATGCAAAATATTAACAAAGACATTGAATAAATAGCAAGGCAAAAAGTGATTAAATCAATTTTCATAGAATACTTGCCTCATCGTCACTATCCTCGTTTTCTTCGTCTGGCATTGGTATAAGCTGCTCTAGCACAGCTTGCGATGGCGACGAAAGGAACTGCCAGAAGGGATTCGTGGCGACCTGTACAGCGTTTAATACCATGGAGTCCCAGGAGAAGGCCGATCTCTCGAGAGGAGAATGGATTCCACCCAACGAAAGTAGAGCCTCGGCGACTTTTCCCGGAGTATCCTATGCGGAGCAAATACAAAGTTCGAAGAGACGATTAGAAATGTGCTTGGAGAACATAACATCGCGTTCATACCAGTGCCCGATATCCGCTCACTTGGTTGGCTCCTCCAGAAGATTGTGTATCAGGTTTGTTGGAGCCGAGGATGTGGAGGACGCTTATGCCTTGAAGCTATACCGCGTTGAAGACCAGCAAATTAGAAATCGCGACAAACACAAGAGCGAAGTCTCGCTGAGAGCCATATCAAACTTCGTCCTTACCCTGGAAACCCTCGGAGCGCGTTTACTTGGCGTGGCCGGATTCCCGCTATATGGCGGAATGTCGCTATAAAGAGTATGAAGAGAATGAGAAAGAGATGAGACAAACTGAATAACGGTTGCTCGGATGCTCAGATGCTCGGATGCTCCGATGCGGCTGCTGAACACCTGTCAGGAAATGAATACGTGCTTGAGATGCGCATCTGTACCTGTGCTGCCTTTTGTTTGACATGCTGTCGCTTTACTTGAAAGGGATGTGAGGTGAGAGACGATTTTTACGATTTTATGGAAAACGTGGAGTTAAGGGCAGTGAAGGAGTAAAGGAACGCGTATGTCTGATTGGCCATTGGCCGCTTCCCTTTTTTGGACGAAGGGAGCTTCCTTACGTGAAATAGCGCACTTTTCATAGTAAAAGTGTGCTATTCCCACTGAATAACACCCCTATATATTTCAATTTAGTGGGAATAGCACACTTTTACTATGAAAAGTGTGCTATTTTGCAAAAAAAAGACTGTAGTAGAGAGGGAGATTGTGTCCCTGCCGCTTCTCGTCAGCAAAATGTGCATTTGAGCGGACGAGGTGGCTGGGTTCAGAGCTTCGCTGTCTTGTTGGAGATGTCAACGACTTGCGCGTTGTTTTTTTTATCTGTTGCGCCCTTTGCCTATAGCGATACGTCCAGGGGGACAACATATACATTGTCGAGGCTTTCGTGGCTGCCGTAAGTTTTGGATCTCCTATGCGAAAAAGAGTAGATTGTGAAGCTTTTGGGCTTCAAGACTCACATTCCATTATTTGGACTTCTTGGGTGGTTATGGTTCTGTGTACCGAGCGAGGTGGGGAGATGGTATGTATTCCACCAAGGCACAGACAGCGATCGAGGAAGCTTATATGATCCAGATGAAGGATTATTTCAGTCAACTCGACCCATCATTTAATGGTACTTGAATGGAAGGGAACGTGTAAGTGTTGGATTTTTGGGGGAAAGGTTCAAACTTCGCGCGGCGAAGAATAAAACGATACCGTAACTGACGCGACTTCATATCACGCGCTTTTTTCACGTAGTCAGTGTGCACGAGTTGATCAACACCCCACCCCATGATCGCCAGAACCAAGACGGTTACGAATGGAATTGTCGCCGGTCTGAAGCAGATCTATGAGCTACGGATCGTCCATCGAGATCTGAAGCCAGAGAACATTCTCCTCTCAGATCTAAGCGCGCGCGAGGTCTTGCTGGCTGATTTTGGGATGGCTGGGTATCTCGAGTACGACGATATTGTGATAGGTCAAGAGATATATTTGCCTTCATTTCATAGTTGATCTCCCAAGTGGAGTAGTAGGTTTCGAGCGCCTATATGTACCATAGGGGCAATCAAGGAACCGAGGGGGTTTCAAGCGAATGAGATGTTGAATAAGGATTCCTACAACACAAAGGCTGACATTTTCTCTCTCAGAATGACCTTGAAACTTTTATTGCTGTACTCCAAGTACTCCAAGATGAGGGACGGAGGACGATGTCGAGGAGTCGTAAGTGATTTTTGGCTTTAGGTGAGACTGAAAGTACGGATCTCAATAGTCGACTCAACTGATAAACCTTGCATCCTTTTGCACAATTTCATAATAGTGAGAACGAACTCCGATGGGGCGACGATTTGGTGGAGAAACTTCATCAGAGAACTTTCCGAGCATCGACTCTCGGCCGAGGAAGCCGAGTTCCATCCCTTCCTTGTCGATGGCGTTTCCAAGGATCCGGACCTGCAGCACGCTGAGGAGGGCTCTCTGCAGGTAGTGAAACGGGACGTCAGTAGAATTGCAATGGTACCCTGGCGGATAGTCATAGGGTCTCTCCTTGTTGACAATGCAGTCATCAAGAATGCAACCACTCTCCCGCTTCATCGCCTCCACAACGCAGGCCCTTAAAGAGCGTCTGCTTCATATGTTCTCTCCTGCGTCAGTCGCGGTGGATGTTCCTCTCCTTTATATTTATCTCTGCTGCGCAGAGTTTCCTTTTTATCGAGTGCAGCCCCGCAACAACACTGCCAGTTGACTAGGGGGAACAGACCTTCGCTCGACAGTGATCCCCTCTCAGCTTGATGTTAGCCCAGTAAACCAGGACCCTGAAGAAAGTAAGTGTGAACGACAGAGTCAAGAAGGATGAGCATAAAAACAGACATAAGGAAAGATCTGTTTCATAAAAGAAGGAAAAAAATGACATCCAGTTCGATTGTTCTGGTAAGAGTGTATTTATCTATGCTATGATGTTTGTAGTTGCATGTCGACGAAGGAATATGCGTCGGCCAGGCAAGATGCGAAAAAGAAATTACGAGGACTTTGAAGAAGAAAGGACAGACTCTGGAAGGGTATGGGCGACCTTCTCAAAGAGTTGAGCCTCCTCCTTCGCAATCTCATCCAGTTCCTGCTGGGACTGCAATCCCCTTGTCTCCTTGCGCAGCTCATACAACTGTCCCAACTGTTGGTCTGACAGCTTGTCCAACAGGGTCGAATCCAACTTCTTGCCGAACCGTTGACCCTGCGCCACGATTCGTGCCAGTGTTTCGTCTCTCCTGCTCTCTGGCGTGCTCACTGCTACTGGTGATGACGACGCTGAGGTTGATGTGTTTGTAGAGGTGGTGGTGGGTGCAGAAGAGGTCAGAATATGGTTGAGGTAATCAGTCCACTGCTCAATAAAGCCAACAATGTAGAGTGGGTTGTCGACGGATTTGTGGCGGTGGAATTCGGCCTTGACATATCCGTCCCCCAGGATTCGGAACTGTGGAGGTAAGTGAGTTCGATGGGCACGGAGGATCTGACGGTAGAGGGTCAATGGGGGGATCAGGGATTTCTTGGCAGCCATTTGGTGAGATGTTGGATGTTGGTTGGTGAGATGTGAGGTAAGGGTTGATGAGTGATGTGTCCTGGGTTTGGTCTTGTTTGGTCTTGAGAGAGTCCTTGTGCTTGCCCTTGTGTGTCCTTGTGAATTGCGGGGTCGATGCAGAAAGAAAAAGAAAAGAGATTCGGAGAAAAGAAGAGCTGAAAACCACTTGACTTTCAGCTCTTGCTCTCTGTTCGGGGCTTCGCTCGGAGAAGTCAGGGCGGCTGGATCAGGCTTTATTTCCATTCACGCATGGAATTAAGGGGTTGCTGATTGGAAGGCATTGCGACTTGATTTGGTGCATGGTGTCAAACGAGCGAGGCCGTGCAAGAGCCAACGTCATATGATAGATGGGCATTGTATACGAGCGCTTTGCAAGAAGCAAGAAACACAGTTTAATGCGCTTCTCAGAGAGAGAGCGATTTGGCACTGTGAATTCATTGCAGGCATGAAGGATGCCGTCAAAGAGAGTGAGTTGATGGAACGAGTCGTTCGATGGTGGCAAAATTGACTGGCCTCCTCCTGCCCCTGACTTCGCCTCAAACCTGTATCTTTCTTTCTTTTCTTTATCCACTTCCTCTTTACTCTTCTCTTCTTCACTCTCCCCTCTCTCTCTCTTTTTTCTCCCATACACCGACACTCTTCACTTACGCACATACTCTCTTTCATACAACGCCTTCCCACTCACCCAATCTCTCACGCACCAACGACAACACCCTCCCAGTTTTGCCCTTTGTTCTCTTATTGTTGCTAAAAGGGGTTTGTTTTCATCCACGTACACAAGCACTTCACCTCTTCTCTCTCCTCCTTGTCTTGCCTGTTGTTCTCTCTAACTTCCCTTGACTGAGTAAACGGGACGTGAATAAGATGGGTATCCACAAAAGTATGTTTAACCTGCCAAAAAATGCCCTTTTTCTTTTTTCCCCCTGTCCCGCACAGCTAAGCAACCTTCAGTAAAATCTAACCCTTTTCTCTGTCTCTCTGCCTACAAACAAAATACGTCGAACAAAAGCAAGCTTCAAGAGTCCGGAGCAGATCCCACCAGAGTTGTCGTGCTCGCTCTGCAACCACATCTTTTTACAACCCTACCAGGTCTTGTGCCGCCACGACCACGTCTTTTGCAAGGCTTGTTTGGACAAGTATCTTGATTTTTGCACCCGAGAACAACAACAGCAACAGTCCTCTTATCAGCCGCAGCAAATATCGTCGTCTCAGGGTCACCACCATGGACATGGGCGAGGGGTCGCAGGCGCATCCAACAGAACAAGTCAGCCGCCGACCCCAATCCAGAGAGGCTTTTCTGTGGAATGCCCCGAGTGCAAGAAATTGCCAGATGTCATATCTGGCGCTGAAGAGACTGAGTTGCTCCGAGTGAGCTCCTTCCGACCTGCCAAATTCGTTGAGGTAAAATGCACTCATCTTTTTGATGATATAGACTTTTGCATGGTTGTGGCTATTGATGGCAATACAGAGACGTACCTGTTGACCATGGCCACTTACGACAACCTCATTTTGATTTTAGAGGATGGTCCAAGCACAGAGCGTTCATTGTCCGACGACCATGTCGATGTGGTGCCACTGGACTGGACCTTTGAGGGACACCGAAGAGCATCTCGAGTCTGTAAGTTACGTTACTCTCCGCCTCTCACTACGCTATCTGCACATAGCGCTCTTGATACTGGCACTAACAGGACACATTGTCACAAACCAATAGTGCAATTTCGCGTTCGAGCACACATGCGCGTATCGATACTTGGGATGCGGCTTCAAGGGAGGCGCGATGGATGTGGCAAACCATGTCAAGCACTGTACATTCCAGTCATCACAGCCTTCGTACAGCACCAACGCTTCTTCGTCCAATCTATTCCCTAACCCAAGCAGTCCCAGTCATCATCAGCACCATCATCGATTTCCTCAGAGCAACTTGGGCACCCAAAAACAGTTTGGAGCCACACCTCGAGGACATGGACCCATGTCGCCACCACAGTCATCACCGCCTATCCCCATAGTCCCTCCTCCAGCACTGCATCCTTACCTCCGACCGATGGCACAGAGAGCTGGTGCACATCCAGGACACTATCCAGGTCATCCTCATCATCATCAACCAAACCTTTACCAGCAGCATCCCCTATGTTTTCACAGGTCTGTCGTACCTCCATCGGTCCCATTGGTCCCAACTCCGCCATTACCACTAACAACAACAGTAGTTGGAGGTCCATTTGAGAGAGCTGGCAGCTACGACGTCAGCCAAGACTTTGAACAGCTGTCTATCGATGAGCTTCAAAGAGCACTTGATGGAGAGGTAGAGGATGCCATCGATGATGAAGGCCTTGCACTTTACAGCCCCGATGCAACAGCGACAGCACCTGCCCGTATGAACAGCAGCACCAGTGGTTGTGACGAGGACTTTGTGCAGGTTGAACGGACTAATAGTATGGTCGACATGGAAATTAGTGACATGGCCATGTCTCCAACTGTGGCGAGGGATTCACTGCCACCAGAGACACAACAGGCGATCACTCGGCAGTCAAGCCAGCGGTTCACCCATGAAGCTGCCCAGGAGGTCGTCCAACAGGCTAATGAGGCTGTCCCTCAGCAGATGATTTCCACCCAAGAGTCAGCCTCGCTCGTTTCGCCAATCATCATCACTCAGCAGATTCATGAAGAGGCGCTGATGATCCAGTGTGGTCAGAGGATGGACAAAGAGGTTCTAGAGACCCCACAGGAAACTCAGTACGAGATTGTGCAAGAGACGGCTCAGGATGAGACAATTCAGGAGAAGCAGCCGCAAGAGGAGGAGACCCCACAAGTTCAAGCTGCGCAAGAAATCCCAGTGTCAGATCTACCTACGCTCTCTCCACAGATGCGACATCACCTCTCGCCCTCGCCATCACCATCGCGAGATCACCCTCCACCAGAAAACGATCTCCCACCTGCACAGCGACGCCGAATCATTGTGGATGAGGAAGAGAGCGACCGTGGTAGCGGTGATATGACCGTTGACGGAGACTTTGTAGAGGACCTTCAAGCACTTGAAGATAGGCAAGGGGAGTCTTCTGCTGTCAGTATTGTTGCTTCTACTACCGCTGCTCACGGAGATCAACACCCTCGGCGGTCGATCACATACTCGCGCCAAAGTCCACCTGACAAAGGCGGTCGCATCTTGCGGGATATTACCGACGCATGGGTAGCATCTCGCGACAGACGACCGTTGGCTCTCAACCACCCAAGTTCTACTACCACACCACACTCTGCAGCTGGACGATCTTCTACTTCTTCCAATCGACCTGGATTGAGTTCTGGTTTGGGACTTGCAGCGGAGGTATTCCGCGTGCTCAACCAGAATCAATTCCACCAACCACATCATCCACAGCAACAGGATCAACAGTCGCCAAGACGACGATCTTCAGAGTCCGGGCAGCGTTCGCCTCCTAGTAAGAGCTTAGTCGGCCATAGAAAAATCTCTGGACGATTCAATCCATTACCGATGCGCGCCGTTCCTTCGATCCCTCCTGCAGCGATCACCGCTTCATCTCTTTTGATGCAGTCGTCCGTGACTGCTTCTCCGGTCCACGAAACGTCCCTTGCATCGCCGCCTGTTTCTTCTTCTGACGATGAGGCAGAGCCTGCTGACCAGGCACGTCGCCAACAGCACCAGCATCAGCAACAACAACTAGTGAACCCAGAGTTGGCCAACTTCTTGGCGCTTATTCAGAATCCGCCTGCTCACCTAATTGTCGAAGCTGAGCCCCAGGCCTTTGTTCCCTTTGTTGCCTACAAGCCCCGCTACCTCAAATCGCGTCGCAAGGTAAATAGCTCTGTTTCCCACATTTTTGGAGTTTTGGCTCTCTGCGTAGGCTCCTTTTTTTTCTACACAACGCGAAACTCTTTTTTCCTTCTATCGTCTCTAACTTTACGTTATTCACGTTTATGTATCTTGTTTGTTGTATAGAAGGGAAAAGCGGGGAGGACGTATGGATTGCCCATCGTGCGTAACAAGGACGCCCACGACCGGTATCAGAATCTGGTGCCCCCCATCCTGACACCTGACATTACCTCACCCAACGACTCTATCTCCTCCCAGGCCAATCGACACCACGACAACTGAGATTATTATTTTCTTAACCACCGACTGACAGACCGCAGACAAACAGAGCGACCAATCAATCCACCCATCCTCTCCACTCGCCGACTTTTTTTTCCCTATCAAGCTTTCATACAAGCAACGACAACGACAGGGATTGGTTCATCCGGTTACCTCAGCTTCATTTCTCTTTTTTGTGTTTTGGTTTTTTCTTTTTGTCCGCGTCCGTGTCGCAGTCCGTTGTTCGTCAGCCCAAATAAAACAATGAATGGAAGAAAACGATTTGACGAGTTCCAGCGAGGAAGGAGTTGATATTTTGCGCTAGTGCTAGCAAGAAGAACGAGCTGTGTATGGTTTCTTCGGCAACTATCCAGTCGGAGTATCGCCAAACCGAGAACAGAGGGTAAGTGGCAATTGCGTTTATTCCGAGGAAGTATTAACAAATTTGCCCTTTTGTCAAAAGAGACAACGGGGGGGGGGTGAAGGTGGACAAAAGAGGAAGGGAAAATAAAAACAAAAGTAGAAGATTGGCAAGCCAATCCTTGACAGGAAATCTTTGATTCGATGGAGGAGGTGGGTGTGCCAGGCAGCCAAGGTCATGCCTTTTGTTTGGGCCAGGATCCGGCCATAGAGGATCTATAACATTGATAGAGATTCAGATGCATACCCTGGATCTGGGTGCCAGTGGCTTGGGGTATGTGGCTATTGAGTAGAAGGAAGGGGAATGGCCTCTTTTCCGTTCCTCCAAAGAACCAGAAAAAACTAGAAAAAAAGACGATGGCTGGTGGGACAGGGAGGTGAGGATAAGAATGGGTAAAAGATACGGTCCTGATATATTGCGTGTTATGAATAAAACGAGAGACATTGCCTGTGCCGATGCAAGGGGGTTATTTTGAGGTATTTCCCTTTTGTCACCTTTTTATCGTTGAATGACGGGTATTACAATAGGACTGTGAGATGGCCTGTTGGAGAAGTAAGGGTTTGTATGCTGTGCTGTTACTAAAAGCCACTAGACTTCAATATAAAGGGTGCCGGGTCCCCAGCTTCCTAAATAACCGATCGCACACACATTTTCTCATTCACCTTTCACTTAACCAACAAAACTCTCTCCACCTTCTTCGCATTTCTACGACAGTTCATACCTTTTTTTTTTTTTTTTTTCCTTCAACAAAAGAATCAAGCTCAAGTTTCTGTCCCCGATCTACGGAGCAACCACAAACAAAACAACAGCTCGCATATCAACGCACATACCAGCACACAACATAATCTAGCAAACAAACACACAAAAAAGGCTACCTAAACAAAAACAAAAAATATCCTGTAAGTAAAGAAAGCCTATTACACGCCCAGTGCCCCAGATCGAGCAAATAAACAAACAAACAAACAAACAGGACTTTTCCCACCCCTCGAGACGGGGACAAGAAGGAGGAGAGGGGAGAACAATGCAAAAAAATACAGAATAAAAAAAGAAGGGGTGGGTTCGTTAATGCAAACTGTGGTTGCACACACGCAGACACAGAGCAAGAGATACGCAAAAGAAGCAAAAAAGGGGATGATGGACCTGCGCGCGTTGCTGCATATGCAGTCTCCCTGTTTTTTTTTTCTTTCCCTCCGCCCTATCTATAAAAAGGTGTGGCGTTTTGTTTATTATTGAGCAGGAAAAGGAAGACGGTGGAAAAGGGAGGCGGTGGAGCGGGAAAGGGAAGGAAAAGGGAAGGAGTGCAGGGGAGGATGTGACGACGGTCGGGCGCTGCCCAGAGCGAAAAAATATGACATATGAAAGACGTACGCGTAAACATATGAAAAAAAAATGAAATAATGGCGAAGACGTTTGGTACATTCCATTTGACGAAGTTTCTCTCATGGTAGTACTGGACATTAGAAAGACAGAGAAAGAAAAAAAGAGAAGGATATGGGTTTACATAGGAAAAGAAAGCACCAGCCTTTGGCTGTGTAAATAATCCAGGTGGATTCCTCTGTCTTGGTATAAGAGTCGCCTATCCCACTTTGGTTATTTTGCAACTCCTTCCATGTCGTGTGAGCGAAGGTACGATAGTAGCTAGGTGGGGGTGGATACGATTACCGCTCATCGCGATGAAGAAAAACAGGGTACTAGATTACTTATACGAGTGATGATCAGTACCCTTCCTTTTGTCTCATCTCAACTTTATCACTCCGTATCACTTATGATCACTTCATCCCAATAACCGAGATGGTCCTCTTGCTTTGTCGACTTGTATAGAGGAAACCCCACTCCTCCATCCTTCCTTCACTCTTTTCCGTTTTTTTTGACCTTGTCTACATCGCTGTTGCTCCTTCCACTTCGACCTGGCAAAAAAACATCCGAGCGACCTCATTCTGGACCTTACCCCACTTTTTGCAACCCAACAGCTCTCTCGCATTCAATACATACCGTAAGTTTCCCTTCTGCCTTACCTCTCCTTCTCTTTCCCCGTCCAAAAAAACGTGTATTTCATTTTGTACGAACAGAAGTGACCCCTTCCTCTTCGCGTCCTTCCCTTTTCAGTTCTCGCTTTGTGCCCATCGTTTTGTTGTCACATATCTCCTTTGGCCATCGTCCAAATTACCTCGTGGCATTGGGCATGGTGTGGAAGAGGAAGAAGGGGGATGGTGCGGTAGTGTAGTGGAGTGAGCTTTTTTAGCCCCTTGTTTTTTTTTCCTTGTCCTGACTGCTTCACTTGTACCCTTCCTCTCCCCCCCCCTTCCTTGGTTCGCAATTGGCTGTGACCTAAAAATCTGCCTTTTTGTACGCGTTCTCTCCATCCATCGACCCATCTACCCCTGGAAACAACAAACACCGAACGCAACAACAACTGCAACAACAAACAAAGTGATATATCTCTCCCCTTCCCTTGCCCTTTGGCTTTTCCCTATTTGCGTTGAAGGGACCAAGCGCACAATGCGGAAATATGAAAAATGGATTGAGGTTGTTTAATTTAGGATATTTTTTTCGTGGATGCTTTGACTCTCTTCGCTTTTTGCCGTGGTTGTTATGTTCAGTACCATGGCTTAGGACATGGATGGGAGTGAGAGAGGAAGGGTAAAAGAAGCTAAAAAATGAGACATGAGGTATGTTTGAAGAGGTACTGTACAAGGGATGAAAACAAAAAGAGGCATTATGAGGTGCATACAAGGGGTTGGAAAGAACGGGGAATTGGAAAATGTGAGTGCATTGAACAGAGGCAAATATGGAAGGGAAGTTCGGACCCGGATCTAACGGATCAAAAAAAAATGTGTCAGTGTTCAAGTCCAAGGAGCGTCGTTGTTTGTGTCTGGTAGAGGGGTGGGAGTGAGAGCATGGTGCTTTGTGCGTGTGTGTTGTGGATGGACAGGGTCAATTGGTATTGTTCTGCGCAACAAATCACGGATGGACACAGAACGCGTCTCCTTTTAGTTTTCAGTCTCAGATTAAGAGAAGAATTTGAGCAAAAATATGAGGAATGGAGAGATGGGGTGCAAAGGGTCTAACTGCAGGACAACAATTGCAATAACAGCTAGCTATAGCGGCGCCAACAATAACGACGAAGGCAACGAACATTAATAGAGGATGTACAGTACATGTCATTAGGCAATTAGAAGACAGGAAAGAAAAAAAAACGTTCAACAGGGAAAAGTAAGAAGGGAAAGAAAAGAAAACTGGTTCAGGGTCGAATGAAATCATTTTGATAGCGCGATCCGATGGTGATTGGGATAGAGAACTAATAACGTTCACACGCACATTCATCCACACTTGCACACTCTTCGAGTCAAATGTGTGGTATGTGGTGCGATTGACCCTCATAACTTCTTTCAATCGCTTCCCACGATTTGAAAAAAAAGGAAGAAGCAGGGAGGAGATCTACGCACTGCAAAGAGGAAAATGAGCACATTTTTGGCCCATCTTCGATGCAGAAACACGAAAAGAGGAGATGAGAGAAACCTTACGCGATACAAAAAAGAACCAAACGTGTGTACACCGACCGAATCGATTGCTTGCGATCCCGACCCACCCCAATGAGAAGAAAAACACAACACACGACAACAACAACAACATCATCATCAACATTCTCAACAGAAAAGACACATGCCGATGACAACGATCTTTTTCGAACTATCAGTTTATGTTTTTCTTTCTGTTCGACTAAGTAAAGTAACTAACAAGCCACGCTCTTGTACCCTTCTTTTTTGTTATTTTACGACGTTGGGTCACTTGTTGGCTGCTGATTCCCAGAGGTCCCGGCTTAACAACACCACGCACGGGTTCCATCTCTTCAGCTCAACCAGCAACAGTAGAACGAATCGCAAGCGATACAACCGACCATGCCCTTTGTCCCTTCATCATCGCTTTTCCTGGCTGCAGACACTCCTCCTCCCTCCCCCTCGTCGTCTTCCTCTTTATCAAACACAAACACCACCTCTGCAACCCCTTCATGGATCAACTCGCCTACCTCCAACGATAATAACAACAACAACAACCCCCTTAGTAACGGCAACGGTATACCCACAAGAGGTACATCAACAACAACCTCATCTCCTTCCTCGAGTCCCCTTGTTGGAAACAATAACAGGAATTGCTCACTCATTGACAACAGTAACAACAACGCCATATCGTCTGCACCATCATCAAAACTATCGATTCGACTCCCGACAACCCCGACAACTACCTCCTCGTCCCCCTTCCCTGTCTCGACTCCATCTCCCTTTAACTCTGCCTCGTCCACTACCATTCATCAATCGTTGCTGCTTCGCATTCCTGCTTCTTCCTCACCCATGCCTACATCGACAACATCGACGCCGCCGCTCGTCCCATCCTCTGCTGCAGCTACAGCTACAGCGATAGCTAGCAGCACCAGTACCCTATCGTCATTATCGGATGTCCATTCCTATCCACACAGTCACCCCAGCAACCCCTCCACCCCTTCCTCAACCCTCCACAAGGCCTTGTCCTGGGCTACCACTCCATCTTCACAATCTCATGGCCAGGGCCAGGGTCCTGTCACAAATGGATCATACAACACCCCTCC